ATGTAATTATATATTGTAGATAACTGTAAACTCTATCATTATACTAATGAAATGTAAAACATTCCTGAAACAACCGAGAATTTGGTAGCAGCTGAAGCATTAGGTTGTAACATTTCACAAGTTATCACAGACTGGAGCAATACTTGTAATATATTTGAGAACAAGTTTTGCACAACATCCAAGTGATTTTCTTTAAAGATTAGACAGGGTATTGAAACAGGGACATAAGAGAGTACACCATACAGAGATTTACCTTAAAATGCTCAAAAGAGAAAAAAAAGAGGCATGAGGGGGAAGTTTAAGGTCAAGGGCCTCAGGGTGGGCTGTCAGGAGATTTCTTCCTTAAATTGGCTGAAATCTGAGATTTTAAAGAATGATTTGAAACACCAAGTAATCCAAGCAAAGGCATCTGCCTCCTGCCGGGGTATATAAATGCTTTTGTTTAGGAACAGCATGGGGAGAGCTGACTGCTCTCTTATCGACTTTCCTCTTTGCTTTCCTCCACTTCCCTCCTCCAGATAATGGCCCAGCTCAGCTTCCTTCCCTCCTCTACAAATGCATTGAAAGTAGACCTCACAGATCTTAGTCTGAGGTGATGAGACTTTCTTAGCTCCAGTATCACCATAGAGAAGATTTATTTCCTGTGTTTAGGGAGATAGATAATTAGGCAGGACTTCGGTCTTAGATCCTCTGTCTCAATTTCTTTTAATTCAATAAATCAGCAAGTAACCACAAGTGGTCTGCACAGCAACCACTTCTTCCTATAACTGGGGGGATCCCCAGAAAAAAGGGGAGGTGCCAGTTTCCCAGTGCCACCCAAGGAAGGGTGGAACTGAGCAGGGAGGAGAGAAGCTGCAGAGGAGATTGGAGAAGGAAGCAGGATGGAGAAAAATGAGGAGATCTGAAGGAGGCACTTGGAGCAGAGACATGTGAGGAAGCTGCGCTACCTTCTTGGTCCTGGACTGGTTGAAACAGACATGGGTGAGAGACCCGTGGGGAAGATGACAATGGCAGCAGCTTTTATCTTGGTTTTGATTTTGCTCTTTTCCTCCCAGACTTGTCTGGCTGTTTCTGACCCTTTTCTATGGGTCCGCACCGGAAGGTGCTTTAGACTTGTGACAGGCTTTCTGGCCTTGCTCCCAGCGAATCCTGTTTGACTGGACTTTTACCCATGAGGGGATAAGTAACTACAGGTGCTTGATTTAGAAACTATATTCCTTGTCTTTTCTGTATTGTTCACTAATCATATTAAAGTTTCTTTCCATTAAAGGCCTTATATGTTTTGTCTTGATGCGGCAGATGGCAGAACATATTTAGAGCAGGCAGGTTTGGGGGTTCTAGGGTGACTCTCCCTGCCCTTAACATTCAGAGAAGCCTCCTCTGACTGCTTTTTCTCTCATCACTTTCACTCCATTTAACCTTTTTTTCTTTCTTTAAATCATTTCACTTGTTTATTCTTTTGTTTGTTCATTTATTTTCTCTTTTCTCTGTTGGAAACATGGACAGGCTGCCCCAGGAGGTGCCCACGTGACTTGCTGATTATATTGAATTAAAGGAAATTGAGAGACAGGGGATCTAAGAGTGAAGTCCTGCCTAATTATCTATCTCCCTAAACACAGGAAATAAATCTTCTCTATGGTGATACTGGAGCTAAGAAAGTCTTATCACTTCAGACTAAGATTTGTGAGGTCTACTTTCAATGCATTTGTAGAAAACCCTGAAGAATTCCTTATGAATTTCAAACTTTCTTTTGATATCTTCTCCCAATTTTTTTAACCCATGAAAGATAGGGTCCCCCTTGTTGCAGGAAAGAATTGAGGTATAGGCCAAGATTGCAGGGATGAAAGAATTTTGTAAAGACAGAGTAGAGAACAAAAAAGGTAGATTCATTGAGATGCTGCTGAGAGGAGTGGGCAAGATGAGACGGTCCATCTGCCCAGAGAGAGGAGATGGAACTGTTACAGGGCAGCCCCAATATAAAACGGGTTGCCTGACTGTGGGTCCTCACCCATGCGCTTAAAAGGGACTTAATACTCTGCTGCAGGCACACACAAAAGGTTAATAAAAGATTTATTCACAAGGGAAGGGGAAATGAGGAAATGTACAGCTCAGGGAGAAAAGTGGGAGATAAAGTCTTAAATGCATCCTATATATTCTGCCGATCTGGAATCCCAAATGGCCCTCTGAGAGCTGGCCGTGAAGCCAAGAGGTAAGAGCCCCCAAAGCCCACATGTCTGGTTTTTATACCAAACCTGGCTGCTTAACTGCACCCTCAGGTCCCAGCAACCCTCCCTTTGGTGGTGACGGGATTTGTCTTTCCCAATGTCTTGATGGCTTTGGTCTGGAGTGGGGGTGGAGTCCACAAAGCCTGTATGGAATCAGCTCAGGACTTCCTTTCCCCCTAACAGGGCCTGAGTTTCTATTTATACTCCAGGCATCATTGATGGTTGGGGTGGCTAATCTTGGGTATGTCCTGACTCCTGATCCAGATCAGCCTAATGGATAATCAACTTAAAGGCCCAGCTCCCTTGGCAGTCCCAACCACGCCCTTTCTCATTCAAGCCTTCCAAATGTGCCTGCTGGGCAAAGAGTGGGGGCTTAGTTTTTAAATTTAGAGGGTGATACCCCAAGATGTTCAGAATAGGTGTCCCCAAGATATGTCATAGATCTCTATAAGGCATGGGGACTATTTCAAAAAAAGGTCAATTGAAACTCTTGTGGGCACATAAGAAATATGTACCACTTCCTGAAACTTCTAGGAGAATAAAAATTGGGGGTCTTGCCCAGAATTAGTATTAATAGGAGAAATATTTTTCTATTTGAGAAAAAACTATCTTTATGGCAGGTCAAACATCTAATTACAGAGCATCTGGTCTTCATATAAATCACTCTTCTCCTCTTCATGAGTGACCACTCTTCACTCTGTGAATTTCTTTTATACATAACTATCCTTACATTGATAACATCATTTGCTGCAAAGTTCCTAAACAAGGGGCTGGGTAAAAATCAAGAACACAGACATCCCGGGATGGCCATGGAATGGTAGACTAACTTGGCTGGCTGCCTGACCTTGTAACTTTGTTAATCTGCTAAGGAAAGATTTGTTAATTGAGCAAATTTGTTGATTACAATTGCATTGGATTATTAACTGCACCAGGCCTAAGACCCTCCAGCAGGGAGCTGGAAAGATTTATTTACTTAGCATTTCCCCTTCACCCCCATTTTGTGTCACTGACTTTGGAATCCATGTCTATGTACATTCCTTCTATATAGGTAATTTTATTTTATTTTTCTCCTACTAAGCCTATTGGATATAAATTTGACTGCTTGACTAGTCTAAAAAGAACCCATATGAGTAAATTTCCTTTCCTCCCTGACAGCCCTTTCGAAAAATCTGTATAAACTCACTGGAATGATCCAAGGATGAGTTTATTATTCTGTGGGCCTCAGTGTGCATGCAGTTTAAGTTTGTCTTTTCTCTTGCTAATCTCTGTAGTGTCAATTGATTATTAGACCAGTTTAAATAACTAAAGAGGGAGAGTAACCCCCCAAATTTCTCCTTTACCTGCCACTGAATGAAACTCTGTAAGTGCTATACCCATGTTGAGTAGCTCCCCTGCATGTGTCCAGCATCTAGCACAGTGAACATACTAGGGTTTTGACAAATATTTCATTTTTACTTTCAGAATGAACATGAAGGGGAACAAATTTGCCACCCCCAAATATATCTTTTTGACACAAGGATTACTTTGAACTGAATCATTAAAAAAAATAGCTAACATAGTAAAAACTCTTGACTAGAAGTTAATTTTTTATGAGACAAAAGAACAGATGAAACTAAAACAAAATGAAATAAACCATAGTAATTTGACTGCAGAGCTCATGCTACCAGAGGGGGAGGATGAAAATGAAAAGTAAAGTGGGGGTACACAAAGAACTGTGGTGGATGATTATGGTGCTTTGTTGGTGGAGGTGTTGTGGTAACAACATTCAAATAGGTGTCAACCTATTCCCCTAAATCACATACACTGTTGTAAACCAATGTTAAAAAAAAATACAATTTAAAATGGAGAAAGAGATAATAATTGGTAAAAGAAAATCTTCATTTGTAAGGTTGTCTTCCTCACTATACTGGGATAAACATAATTGCAATCTCCTTATCTCTTTTATTTTATATATTTTTACATCATTTTTTTATTTTTGCACGATGTATGAATTTTCATCTTGGTTATAGTCCCCATACAATTCCCACCCCCCTCATTTTGACCCTAATCCCTCCTCCCGTACCCATCCCCCCCGTAGTGTGTCTCTGGTTTATAGTTGTTTGTTGATTTGATTTGTACTTTATTATAATTAGTCCTTTTCCTGGTCCCTTATTTAGGTTTTCTAAATTCCTGCTATGAGTGAGACCATCCGGTATTTTTCTTTTTCTTTCTGGCTTATTTCGCTGAGCATGATCCCTTCCAGCTCCATCCATGTTGCTGCAAATTGCAGGCAGCAGCTGAAATCTGCATCATAATCATACCCTGTTTACTGTGCCTTTCCTGGGAAGCTCCTACAACTGACCTTCCCTTTCTACACGATATCCTGTATTTAAGGTGCTGACATGGGTCATTTTGGGGGAGTTACTCAATTTTCTCGTGTCTCTCCCATATATAAAGGTTACAAGTATGTTACAAACCTCTTTGTTTTTCTTCTGATATTTGGCTTATGTCCCTGACCAAAATAAATAAATAAATAAACATTTTGGGATCCTTGGAATCTGGGAAGCTAAAACAGACTTTGAGGTGCCAGGCATGTCCAACTATGCTTAGAAACATCCTCCTCCAGGAAGGAGTTAAAATAAAACTGTCCACGACAAACTACAGGATTAAAACTTAACCAATCATTGCTCAACTCACTTTTCACCTGATTTGCATGTTATTGCACCAATGAGAACTTGACTGACTTAGCTTAATTTGCATAATGGGCCACCAATCAGAACTTGATAGACTTCTAACCCTAATTTCATAACTGACCAGAGTGAGAACTATCCCAGCTTTTCTATGTAGCTGTAAGATCTACTCCATCCAGGCAACCCAGACAAGATTGAAGGCCTCTTTGAATTCGTGTCTCCCTGGCTACAGTTTAATTAAACCTCGATAAACACTTACATTTTGCTTCGTCCAGGTCTTGTTCTCTCTGGGATGGCATTACTGTTCCTGGTACTGAGCTCCTAAGATCTTCGGTGATATTGTCTAAGAGATAAAGTTGCCTTTTGTAATTCATAACAACTCCCTTTCAACCACACCTAAGGTGAGTTTTGGAAAAAGCCCTTAAATCTGGGTGTGCGTCGGGGGGGGGGGGGGGGGGGGGGGGGGGGGGAGCTGGTTGTCAAGGCAACTAACCAGGTGACTAGAGGGTTTCCACTAGTTTAACCAAGCATCTCCAAGTAATGAAGCCTCTATAAAACCCCTCCAAGTAGGGAGTGCAAGCTGTTTGGGGGACTTTCAGGTTGCACAACACGCGGGTGTGCTGGTAAGCTGGTGCACCTGCAGAGGGCATGGAAGCTGTGCCCTGTCCCCTATAATTCACTCTGTGCCTCTCTTCCATCTACCTTTCCATTTGTATCCTTTGCAATATTCTCTGCAATAAACACGCCATAGTAAGTGAAACATTTTCCAGAGTTCTGTGCTCTGTTCTAGGGAATTATGAAACTTGACAAGGGGGATTGTAGTAACCTCCAGCTAGTGGCCAGTTTTGAGAAACAGAGTGGCAAACTCACAAGGGTCACCCAGAAGACATTCAATGACTATTTCCAGATTACCTCTCACTCGATCACGCAGCTCTTTTTATCAAGTAGATCATTCTTGAAACCTCTCTTGTCCTCCAGGACAGCATCTTCCCTTGGGTTTTCTTCTTCATTCCCAGACTTGACTATCCTCTCTTCTGCTCTTTTATTCAGTGCAATTCCTGGGCCTTTTGTTAATCCCGCAACTGTGTTTAATTGTGATCTTGCTACTAAGTAGCATTAAAAATGTTGATGGTGGGCCTCTCCTGGTGGTGCAGCGGTTGAGCACTGGGCTGCGAAGATGTCCACAGCCTCTGCAGTGCCGGTTTGATCCCTGGTCACCAGCGAGGGTCCCACATGGCGCGCAGACCTCTCCTGCCGCGACCCCTGCTCCCCTCAGCAGTGTATTTTGTCGGTCTGCCTGTTCTGTTCCCTACTCTGGCTCTGGTGAATCCTCTCACCCTCCCGTGCTTCTGACTATACCCAGTGCTTGTATAAATAAATAATCTTAAAAAAAAAAAAAATGTTGATGATGCTTACAATGACATCTCCATGAAAAAAAACTTCCTTCTATGCTCCAGACATGTCTTTCCATCAACTTCCTTGAGTTCCTCAATACAGCACTTAATTCAGCCTGCATTGAAGAGGTGACTTCTTTTATCATGCAGTGGCAGGACGGGCATGAAGCAGGTTTTCTATGACCCGAGCAGACAGGGTAAGGAGTCCCTGAGCCCTTGGTGGCTTTTGCAGGTTTTTATTGCATTTACCAGGTACACGACTGGCAGGGATGCCGAAGGTGCTGGCAGGCTGGCAGGCCTCTTAGTCCCTGGCGAATCTTCATTCTTTCTGGGCTCTCCAGCGTTCTCTCGTGGCCTCTGCTTCGCTGTTCCCCTGGCGTCTCCGTAATGCCACCCTTATAAGCCCAGTCTCAGCCCAGGTGTACCCACCTAAGTATGCCCACACCTTACTCCAGGTGCCCGCTGTCAGGCATGCATTCAGGACCGCAGGGATTCATCATCAATCCGAATGGTGGGAGGGCAGAAAAGCCTGATACTTTTTTACCTTACCCTACAATCAACTAACAACAACATTTAATGTTCACCACAATATCCTAAAAGATTTTGGATGATTTGCCCAGTGGCTGCCTCTCTCCAACTTTACCTCATGTTCAACCCCCTCTCCTACTACAGGTAATTACTCTTTTTTCCATTTCTCTGAGCTGCTCAAACTTTTCCCCCAATTAGCGATCTCTTGCCTTTTCTATCCTTATTTCTTTGACAACCTGGCAGCTTTGCCTTGTCCTTTAAAACTACAATGAGTGTTTGTGTGAATGTGTGTTGGATATCAGACATATTGTTTGTATATCTTTTGATTATATATATATAGTGATTATTGTTGAAAAACAATTATGTATTAATTCTCTGGCATTATCTGAAGTATTTGAACATAAAATTATGAATAAAAATTGAATTTTAGCTTTTCTTTCTTTCATTACCCTGAAAGTTTTGGTGTCAGTATTTTATTAGTAAAGTAAAATGAGTCAGAGAGTTTTCTTTTTCCATTGTCTAGAAGCATCTTGTATAACAAATTACATACCAATAAATTTGAATAAAAGTAAAAAATGGTTAATTTAAATGCTACTACCAACCTGCAGATTTAGGAGGAAACTAAATAGCAAAACAGGTTTATTTGGGATCAAAGAATTACAATTCAAAGTACAAAGATTTAGGTAAAACCTAAAATGTGCCCCAAGAAAGGACAAATTTCAGAGTCGAAAACTCCAGGGGGAAAAAAGAGAAAGATAGGTAAGTGGTTTTAAAAAAAAAAAAAAGAGCTAATTAATGTTAACAGGCTTAAATTATTCTTGGCTATGCATAATTGGTTACTGATTGTATCCTCAGGCAAATAGTGCCTAATCATCACTCCCGGAGATCTGATGACCCCTCAAACAATTGTTTGTTGGATAGTTTCTTACAACAATTGCTTTTTTTGTCCAGTCTAAAGGTCTTTGGTTTAAACAAGACAGATAATGTAGTTTCTCTGTAAATGCTGTCTGCTCGATTTTAAAGGGTCCACAAATGTCAACTTTTCACAATGCCATTTTTATTTGAGAATTTCCTGAATAACCCAGTGAAATTGGGCACCCTTATTATTTTCTTTCATAGAATCAGTGTCTGTTCATAGTCCTGTAGAACTCCCCGTTTCTTGCAGTGTCTCTCTATGATTTAGAATAACATCCCTCCTCCAGGAGACAGATTGCAAAAAGGCATCCTGTTTGTGTGAATAAATAATATTCCTTTCTCCAAAGGGATAGAGCTATGCACTGTGGCATGTGGTTTGCCTATGTTTTTTGCTTCTATTTGTGCCTGGATTTGTTCAGGATTCACACGTGCAACCTTATACTGCCAACCAGCTAAGACTTTTCTCAACATGTGATTTATAGAGGTAGGTAGGTAGGTAGGTAGGTAGGTAGGTAGGTAGATAGATAGACAGATAGACAGACAGATAGATAGACAGACAGACAGATAGTCAGATAGATAGATAGACAGACAGACAGATAGACAAATAGACAGATAGACAGACAGACAGATAGACGGACAGATAGACAGATAGACGGACAGATAGATATAGACAATTTTGCATGCTTAGGATGTTGCTTCTCCTTCTACTCCCATACACACTTTGTAAAAGCCAAAAAGATAGAGATAATATCATTTTCAATTGTTATTGTGTACTTAGAATTCAATAGTATCTAACAGCTGAAGATACCCAATAAGAATTGACTGAATAAGCAACTAGGTAATGGGTTGTTTGAACAGTAACCAGTTATCTCGATTTCAGTACCAAATAGGTACAGACAATATAATTTCATACACATATCTTCTAAATCCCCTCCCATGAATGAGACACTAATGGTCTCTATCATGTGCCAGAGGCACATGCTTTTTTACTTGCCTGTTAACGTTCAGGAAACACTGTCTCTTTCCAGTGGTTGAGGACAGCTTGGCTTGTAGTCTCTGAAAGCATGATGACACAGTCAGTTATTAATTGTGTTATCAGTGTTGGAAACACTGAAACATTCTCAAATTACTGAGTTGAATTTGGATTGAATCAGATTGGATTTTATAGTTTCAGATGGATTTCTTCAAATGTATGCACAGGAAAAAAGGATAAGCAAGAATATATTAGTCCTAAACATAGCTATTGTAGTCAGATCCCCTCCGTGTTGCAACAAATATCTCCTAGACTAAAAAATCAGGAATAAGTGAAATTAAACTCTACCTACATTTTGCTCTTTCTTTTCCTTGCCTCTCTTAGTGATTTACCATTAACTTGCTCCAACTACATTTCTGGGGACTTGGAAAATTAATTGCGTTACATCCCTAATAAAATCCTCCATGCCCCTTCGAGGTTCTTAGTGACATCAAAAATAAACATCTCCTGTTTTCTGCCTGAGGAGACATTCCCTGCCGAGAATGTCAAATACCACAACTCAATCAGCCTTGACTGCCTGGCAATCTCCTCAGACCTGAAAATGTGAACCCCACCCTTCCCTTACATTCTTTCCCCACTTACACAATCATAGCAGTCCTGCCTTCGGGGAGTCCATTTTTGGGGGTGCCTGGTTGCTGGTTGTAGGGGCAGGAATGGGCACGGAGCAGGTTTTCTGATCCAGCAGACCGGGTAAAGGAGGAGTCAGTCCTCGGTGTTTTTTGCAGGTCTTTTATTTAGATTTACCAGGCATATGGCAGGCAGGGGTGCTGGGGGGCCAGGAGGCTGGCCGTCCTCCCAGCCCCCAGCAAGTCTTCACTCTATCTGGGCTCTCCGGCCTTCTCTTGGCTTCTCTTCTTCTCTCAGCTACCTTTCGTTCTTGGTTTCTTTCTTGGCTTCTGCTGGCATCCCCGTGACGCTGCCCTTAAAAAGCCCAGTCTCAGCCCAGGTGAATCCCATCTACCTAGGCCCACACCCTACTCCAGGTGCCCGCCATCAGGCATGCATTCAGGACTGCAAGGATCTATCATCTATCCTGATGGCAGAAGTGCAGAAAAGCCTGACTTTTTTTTCCTTACCCTACACTGGTCATCTTGAATAAACTCCTGTGTGCAAAGATATTCTCGTGGTCCAGAGTTTGGCTTTCTGAGAGTGAAAGAGTCAGCTCCGTTGCTTAAAGTGTTTTGTGGATGTAACGAAAACTCCACCAAAAAAGGACAAAGCTTCCCAAATTGTTTATAGGTAATGGAGGAAAGTCTGATTATTTGGAGGTGAGAGAAAATAGTAGGCTACAGATTCTATGAAAATCAAGGATAGCAGTACTTTACAAAACTATCACAATGGAGGTGGTTTGAGAATTTGCAGAAACCCTATTAATGCAAATAAGTAAGATCAGGATTTTGGGTCTCTCCTAAAAATCTTATCTGAAGGTATTCACCACGCATGGTCTATGAAGATCAGTCTTTGTAATCAGGTGAAAATATGGTTTTGGTATAGCTACTTCACATATGAAAGTCTCCATTCCTTAATCTGG